ATTCAGTCAAATTCTAAGCGTGGTTCAAAATTCAACCAGTAAGATTCTGAAAAAAAAAGACATTAAAAAATTACTGAAAAGCTAATCGTATTTCTCTCTAAACAGCTGCAGTAATACTTCAAAAATGTTTTTGTTTATTTTGAAGTCCTCCACCCATCCTTATCTTTAGAGAAAAAAAAGCAACAGTTTGTAACCGTTAAAGAGTACCATTATGTTCTAGGATGGGAATGGCTCGATTTTACACATCTAATTCATGCAGTGAAAAAAAAAATGAACAAAATATCCACATACATGCAAGTTATCGCATAAACAAAAAAAAAGTGAGTAACTGGAAAAGCATGCTTTTCGATCGTAACAATTACCAAAAAAAACCGTTTCAACAATCGAATAGCTACTGCCTGTTTTGTTCCTCGATGAATTTTAAAAGAGTTTCGGTAAACAGAAGACGGCAGATGCCAAAACAACCGAATGCTAATTTACGAAGTTTTTGCCAAATTTCAAGCAATGATCTGTTGATATAAGGAAAAAAACAACATTCTATGAAACAACAAATTGTCGGCAACTGTGCAACAAAGTCTACTAAAAAATCCTTGTCTCTACGTTTACATATTTCTTGCAAAATATATCACTTTTCCTGAACACTGTAAGTATCTTTTTAAAACCAATATCGCCTCTTCTTCAAATAGTACTATATTTATTTATTTACTTTTTCAAAATATTTCAACAGCATATAAAAAAAATATCTGAAAAAAGCTTCATGCAATCCACTTTTTTTTCTGCCGTCTACCAATACGTAAATAGAAATCACTTTCAGCCATCGTCCTCCTCGATGTTATCCGCCTTTTTTAAACGAAACTATGTTACTATTTATTTTGTACAACCAAGTTTTTCTGTTATACTTTTTGTCTTTGTTTGAAAGATACGAAGACGGCAGAAAAACGTCTACCAGTTGTAACGTTTTTATTAGATTTTCTAAAATACAGTTACTCATTAACGTCTGCTGATACGCCGTTAAAACAAAGTCCTTATTTTGATCATCATCAGAAAACAGCAAAAAGCTATAAAGCTTAAAAAAACTCAATTTCTGAAGACTAGAACAACAATTTCCACTGAAGAATATTTTTGCTATTGATTTACAATGTGAAACAAAAAAAAGTAGAAAAAACTCAAAGTAGTTTATATAATAAAAACAAATTTTCCCGTAGTATTATAGTTGTTCACAATCCACTAAAATCAGTCAAAATTTTCACCTAGTTTTCTTCGCCTTTTCTTTTTTTGTCAATCAACTAATCCAACTGTCTAGAAAGTAAAGAAAAGATGCAACAACGATTCTCACAATGAAAACACACTAAACAAGTGTAAATTGACTTAAAAGTATTTCGTACATAAATACCAACGACTATAAGTAAAAATAATACTAGTAGCAATAAGAACATTAACAGTTTCACATTACACTAAATATAGGCTCCACTTCTATCTAATAAACCATTTATTTTTGAAGGAGATAACAGAAAAAGTGAGACATAACGTCTCCTCTTTTCGCTTAACTGTTTATACATATAATAAAAAAGCAAGCAACGAAGAAGTGGAACTTGGAATCAGCAGCACACATCTATAGTTAGACTTGTACATTTTTTTTTTGAACTTATCTTGCTTATAAGTAAGCTTTAAAAAACTTGCAGTAATCTCAAACACTAAGTTTTCAACTGTTGCGCTTTTCCAGCTTGGTAATTT